TGTATGTCATAGCTGCACATCCTTCTAGTTGCTGTATGTGGGACTCGGCCTCAGGATGGACGTAGAAGTGGTGCCTCGATGCGCACCCGGGATCCGAACCCGGGCCACCACCATCGCAGCGCGCGCACTTAACCACCAAGCCACAGGGCGGGCCCCTTATTTCTATTTTTTTAAAGATTTTATTTATTTATTTTTTTTCCCCCCAAAGCCCCAGCAGATAGTTGCACGTCACAACTGCACATCCCTCCAGCTGATGTATGTGGGACACGGCCTCAGCATGGCCGGAGAAGCGGTGCGTTGGTGTGCCCGGGATCAGAACCCGGACCGCCAGCAGCTGAGTGCGCGCAGCTGAGCGCGCGCACCTAACCGCTAAGCCACGGGGCCAGCCCTCCCCCTTTTTTTAAATAATGAGCATTGAGCCAACATATGTTCAAGTTATGGTCAGACTTTTTTGTAGGTAAATTGTTGATTATTTAAATCCCAAGTTAAATTAGACTAAATTTTTAAGAGAGGTCGATTCTATTTGTTTTCCCATGGGAACTCCAAAATGCAGTCACTTGAATGAATCATTTCTTTGGAACCTGAAATCAATACAGTGGTTCATTAGTTAAGAGAAGTTTACCAACCGTTAGTTACAGAGCTTTAACTACATGTACTTTGTTGGATGCTTCAAAGATGGATAAATTGTAGGGGAGTTGTTATTACCTCCTCCACCTCCCCTGCCCATTTTTATAGTAAAAATATAAAAGTTTTAAAGTCATAAACAAAAATTATATTCCTTTTTGAACAGTCTTTGGAGCCGTTGTTGAAAACTCTGAAAGATCTCAGTGGATCTGAGACTTGTATTATATGTTGTTATGAACAACGAACAATGGGAAAAAATCCAGAAATCGAGAGAAAATATTTTGAGGTGAGTACTCTACTGGATCTGTCTCTGTAGGGATTGTCTTTCAGGGAGGCTCTGTGTGACTGTTCAAGTGTATTACGGTAATTCTGAGTGGGGAAAACCTGCTCCTGTGAACCCGAGGAGAGGATCCTTCACAGCCTACCATTCTATTCAGCGCCCCGCTTCGTTTCTTTTTTCCTGATCCTTCATTCTTTTTCCTTTTCTCATTAGTTAATCTAGGGTGTGCAGAACAATGTAAAATAATAATGGTGACACCCTTGTCTTTTCTGAGAAAGTTTTCAGTGTTTATTAAACATGACTCTGGCCTTTGGGAACATGTTACTGATGTTATTTTATGTATTACTTTTGGAGAATACATTATAGAAACGTGATATGTGGTATGTTTTTACTTCTGTGTTTTCCTCTACATCTGTTTAAAAGCTTCCACCACCATATTCTATTTTCAGGGTTTTTTTTTCTTTTTCTTTAAAATAATTAAAGACTCAAAGGAAGTTGCAAAAGTAGTACATAGAGTTCCATGTATCTTTAACACGTCTTCCCCCAAGGCTCACCCAAACCTTTTTTTTTTTTTTTTTTTGTGAGGAGGATCGACCCTGAGCTAACGTCTGCCAGTCCTCCTCTTTTTGCTGGGGAAGGTTGGCCCTGGGCTAACATCCGTGCCCATCTTCCTCCACTTTATATGGGACGCCGCCACAGCATGGGTTAACAAGCGGTGCGTCCGTGTGTGCCAGGGATCCCAGCTGGCGAACCCCGGTCTGCCGAAGCGGAGTGCTCACACTTAACTGCTTACGCCACCTGGCCGCCCCCCCCCAAACCCTTTTTATGGGCAAAAATCTATCACATTATAAGTGACTCATCGTGAGGACACATCTCTGCTGCCCTGCAGTTTTATCCACTGAAGGGACTACTTTGGTTAAATGAGAAAGCAAATATATGACTGTCTTAGATGTATGCTAAAATGGTTTTTTATTTTCATGTTTTTCTTGAGTATGAAGAATATTAATGAACTTTTGGAACTGTATAATTGAAAATTTTATGTTAAACAGTTTTAACTGAGTTAAAACATGTAAAATGCACATACATCAAGTGTTTGGCTCAATTTTCCATGTGTATACACCCAGTAGCCATGGCCTGACATAAAGATAGAGAACATTTTCTGTATCTCTATAGGACCTCAGAGGCTCCCCTGGGCTCCTTCCCAGTCAGTGCTCTGCCAGAGGTAACCACTATTCTGACTTCTGTCACCACAGGACAGTTCTGTTCTTTAATTTGAAGTATATTTCTTTTAAATTTATAGCTCCTTCAACTAGACTTTGACTTTGAAAAAATTCCTTTGGAAAAACATGATGAAGAATATCGAAGTGAAGATATTCATATTTTATACATCAGAAAGAAAAAATCGGTAAGTACATTCTGGGCTCTTCATCCTTGGAGGAGATTCCGTTAGCTGGATGCTGTCTCTGAGCTTGTGTGTGGTGTAGACATTGATTTTGATGGGGGAGACAGCTGTGGTGATTCCCTGCCCTCGGGCTCTAACTCTCAGTGTTAAGATCACCTTATCTGGCCTCGGGTTCTTCTACAGTGAGGCAGACTTCTTGGTCCTTTCCAGCTGTCAATTATATGGCTTTGTAATTGGGCATTACCTCAGACAAGTAACTTAGCTGTTTATAAGTTTTTGTGATCTCTTAGAGATTTTAGAATGCCGATTCTGACCTTCGTGAACTTTCTCCACCTGTTCAGATTTTTTTTAATAGTCAAAGTAAAGCATAGGGGCTGGCCCGGTGGCGCCGTAGTTAAGTGTGCATGCTCCGCTGTGGCGGCCCGGGGTTCACAGGTTCGGATCCCAGGCACGCACCGACGCAGTGCTTGTCAGGCCATGCTGTGGCAGCGTCCCATATAAAGTGGAGGAAGATGGGCACAGATGTTACCCCAGGGCGAGTCTTCCTCAGCAAAAAAAGAGGAGGATTGGCATCGGATGTTAGCTCAGGGCTGGTCCTTCTCACACACACACACACAGAAAGTAAAGTATAACAAGGCAGATCTGTCCAATAAAGAAAAATGTACTCAGTTAAATAGAATTGATGTATTTCTCCCTTTTTGTTGCTTCCTGTACATGTTATAACAGTTACGTTTTATGCAGGTTGACTCTCTGATGCCTAGAGTTTCAGCCTGTAGAGAGAAGAATTGTGTCTCGTCTGTGTGTCCCCAGCACCTCTTTTCTATATGTGACTGGCATAAGGCAGGGACATGATCAATTTTGTGAATTAAAGATGCTAAATATAAGGCCCACTTGTTTCTGTTATCTTGGCTTTGATTGAATTTGTTTGTGATGGAATTTCCTGATTATGTGAGTTCTAGCCAAAAACAAATAACTTGTAATTTGGGGATCAAGACTAGGTGTTAGGACCATAAGGAAGGAAGAGCGGTGGGATTAGTAGTTCAGATGAACTGACCTTTATGTGGCATGGTGCTGGAGATAGAAAGATAAATAAAAAATGTCTTATGCCGTAGGGGATCCAGTTTTAGCTGAAGCTATGGTGTAGTTTTAAGTAGGATTTTTTTGAGGCATGAAGATTTTGTGTTTCTGAAACATAAAGGCTTTTTTTTTTTTTTTTGGTGAGGAAGAGTAGCCCTGAGCTAACGTCTGCTGCCAATGATCCTCTTTTTGGATCCTCTTTTTGGCTGATTAAGATTGGCCCTGGGCTAACATCTGTGCTCATCTTCCTCCACTTTATATGTGAGATAACCTGCCACAGCATGGCTTGATAAGCGGTGGCTAGGTCCGCTGGATCTAGGCCCAGATCAGAACCTGCGAACCCCTGGCCGCCAAAGTAGAGCACGAGAACTTAGCCACCGGGCCGGCCCCTCATTTCTTTTTTTAAAAATTGGCATAATTCATATATCATAAAAGTCACTCTTTTTTTTTTTAATTTTTATTTTACTGCAGTAACGTTGGTTTATAACATTGTATAAATCTCAAGTGTACATTATTATACTTTTATTTCTGTATAGATTACATCATGTTCACCACCCAAAGACTACAGTCCATCACCACAGTCCATCACCACACTCATGTGCCTAATCGCCCCTTCCCCTCTCCTCCCTCTCCCCTTCCCCTCTGGTAACCATCAATCCAATCTCTGTCTCTGCGTGATTGTCGTCGTTTTTATCTTTTCCTTATGAGTGAGATCATATGGTATTTAACTTTCTACCTCTGACTTATTTTGCTTGGTGTAATACCCTCGGTGTCCATCCATGTTGTCACAAATGGCTGGATTTCATCGTTTCTTATGGCTGAGTAGTATTCCATTGTGTGTATATACCACATCTTTATCCATTCGTCCCTTGATGGGCACTTAGGTTGCTTCCGAGTCTTGGCTATTGTGAATAACGCTGCAATGAACACAGGGGTGCATGTATCTTTACAAATTGGTGTTTTCAAGTTCTTTGGATAAATACCCAACAGTGGAATAGCTGGATCATATGGTAGTTCTATCCTTGATTTTTTGAGGAACCTCCATACTGTTTTCCATAGTGGCTGCACCAGTTTGCACTCCCACCAGCAGTGTATGCGAGTTCCCTTCTCTCCACATCCTCTCCAACACTTGTTTCCTGTGTTGTTAACTATAACCATTCTGATGGGTGTGAGGTGATATCTCATTGTAGTTTTGATGTGCATTTCCCTGATAGTTAATGATGTTGAACATCTTTTCATGTGCCTGTTGGCCATCTGTATATCTTCTTTTGAGAAATGTCTATTCAGGTCTTTTGTCCATTTTTTAATTGGGTTGTTTTTTTATTGTTGAGATGCATGAGTTCTGTATATATTTTGGAGATTAAGCCCTTATCAGATGTACGGTTTGCAAATATCTTCTCCCAATTGTTAGATTGTCTTTTCATTTTGTTGATGGTTTCCTTTGCTGTGCAGAAGCTTTTTAGTTTTAGTCCCATTTGTTTATTTTTTCTATTGTTTCTCTTGCCCAGTCACACATGGTGCTTGAAAAGATGTGGCTAAGACCGATGTCAGAGAGTGTAGTGTAGAAGTTTCATGCTTTCAGGTCTTACATTCAAGTCTTTAATCCATTTGGAGTTAATTTTTGTTTATGGTGTAAGGTAAGGGTCTCCTTTATTTTTTTGCATGTGGCTGACCAGTTTTCCCAACACCGTTTATTGAAGAGACTTTCCTTTGTCCATTGTATGTTCTTGGCTGCCTTGTTGAAAATTAGCTGTCCATAAATGTGTGGGTTTATTTCTGGGCTTTTGATTCTATTCCATTGATCTGTGCATCTGTTTTTGTGCCAGTACCATGCTGTTTTGGTTACTATAGCTTTGTAGTATATTTTGAAATTAGGGAGTGTGATACCTCCAGCTTTGTTCTTTTTTCTCAGGATTCCTTTGGCTATTCAGGGTCTTTTGTTGTTCTGTATAAATTTTAGGATTCTTTGTTCTATTTCTGTGAAAAATGTTGTTGGAACTTTGATAGGGATTGCATTGAATCTATAGATTGCTTTAGGAAGTATGGACATCTTAACTATGTTAATTCTTCCAATCTAAGAGCACGGAATATCTTTCCATTTCTTTGTGTCTTCTTCAGTTTCTTTCAGCAAGGTTTAAAGTTTTTGGTGTACAGATCTTTCACTTCTTTGGTTAAGTTTATTCCTAGAAAGAATTCCTATTCTTTTTGTTGGTAATTGTAAATGGGACTGTATTCTTAATTTCTCTTTCTGCTGCATTGTTGTTAGTGTATAGAAATGCAACTGATTTTTGTATGTTGATTTTGTATCCTGCAACTTTACCGTATTCATTTATTCTAAAAGTTTTTTGGTGGATTCCTTAGGGTTTTCTATATATAAAATCATGTCATCTGAAAATAGTGAGAGTTTCACTTTGTCCTTTCCCGTTTGGATCCCTTTTATTTCTTTTTCTTGCCTGATCGCTCTGGCCTTCCAATACTATGGTAACTAGGAGTGGTGAGAGTGGGCATCCTTGTCTGGTTCCTGTTGTTAGAGGGATGGCTTTCAGTTTTTCACCATTGAGGATGATATTAGCTGTGGGTTTGTCATATATGGCCTTTATTATGTTGAGATACTTTCCTTCTATACCCATTTTATTCAGAGTTGTTATAAATGAATGCTGTATCTTGTTGAAGGCTTTCTCTGCATATATTGAGATGATCATGTGATTTTTATTCTTCATTTTATTAATATGTTGTATCACATTGATTGATTTGTGGATATTCAACCATCCCTGCATATCTGGAATAAATCCCACCTGATCATGATGTATGATCTTTTTAATGTATTGTTGTATTCAATTTGCTAGTATTTTGTTAAGGATTTTTGCATCCATGTTCATCAGTGATATTGGCCTGTAATTTTCTTTTTTTGTGTTGTCCTTGTCTGGTTCTGGTATCAGGGTAATGTTGGCTTCGTAGAAAGAGTTAGGAAGCTTCCCCTCCTCTTCACTTTTCTGGAAGAGTTTGAGAAGGATAGGTATTAAGTCTTCTTTGAATGTTTGGTAGAATTCACCAGGGAAGCTGTCTGGTCCTGGACTTTAATTTTTGGGGAGGTTTTTGATTACCGTTTTGATCTCCTTGCTGCTGATTGGCCTATTCAAATTCTCTATTTCTTCTTGAT